CATCTAAAAGTATGTGACCATGTGAATGTAAGGAACTGTGGGGATACGAGTACAGGCAGAAATATATGAGTGTATGACCATATGTCAACTGATTGTTTTGCAGTGGCCTTCCATGTCAGACATGAACATGAATGCAAATGTAAAAAAAAATAAAAAATAGTCCCTCCAGTAATGGACAGATGGATAGACCTACTGACTGACTGTCTAACAGTATCTAAACTGAACAGAATAATATTGCTAGATCATACTTGTTGGCTTGTTCTGTGATATGGCTCCATCTGGTGGTCATTATTAGACTCTCACCCAGATTCTCCACATTAATAAAGCAAAACATAAAACACAAAAGCATCAAATTCAGCCAGGATGAAAGAGTGAAGAAGACAAAAGGAGCTTAGGGAAGAACACATGAGAGAGAGAAAGCGGGAGAGATACATAACCAGTCTGGAGTCACCTTTGGGATCTTAAACAGAGTTGACGGGATCTCGGGTTTCACCATGGCAACCACTTGGGAAAGGGTCTCAAGTGTATTATACTATGAAAACATGCATATAGACACCATGCACACACAGACAGAAGGCAACACTGCTGATGATATTTACTTTATACCGTAGATTTTTATACTGTGATGCAGCTCGGCATTATCCAGACCACAGCAGGCTCTTAGAGATTAAATATACAGAGACGGAGATGCTCCAGAGTCTTTGATAGGCTTCTCAGAAGCACAGCTGCTTCTACATCCCTGACTTCTCTGCATCTTTAATAGAGAACACCCAATTAGTTGCAATCAGAGCGGAACACGAGCACAGGATGAACAGAGTTAGACTAAATGGAGCCACAGCACTCACAGTGCTACTAGAACATTTTAACTGATACAGGCATGATAAAACAAAAGAGGAGAAAGAATGAGGGAGAAAGAGAGGAGGGGTTCACCCGAGAGGAGTCATGTTCAGACACCAGCTGAGCTATTGTTCCTGACTGTAACAGGGACAAAAGAGCACACAATTCCCAGACAACAGTGCATGTACATTGTACACACATGCACGCACAGGGCAGGGAGATAACATACCCCCTACTGTTCTACTTTATGGTGTTTCCATTCATTTTCTTTGCTTGTTAAATCAGTTACAACTAAATTTAATCTCCCTTTAAAATGGCATATAAAACTGCTTTCATTTCACTATAATGTATCAACATTGTCTACAACAATACAGGGCAAGTGAGGGTTTTCAGGCATCATTGTCAACATGATTCAGCAATGAGTTTCACTTTCATCCTGGCAAGCGTAGTCAGTGCAAGCTTATGCATAATTAAAATGTACATCTTCACATTTTGTGCCTGTCTCTTCATGTATTCACAATGTGTGTGTCTCTCTATAGACGAGCAAAGTTTTCAGCTTGGCCTGAATTCATACCACTGCAGCGAGAAATGAGCTCCAAATGCAGGTCAGCCTCTTCCCAAATGAGGGACTGTGAGGATGTTCAGGGGTTTTGGAGAACAGGAAGTCAACTGTACATCCAAGACTGCTCCAGTTAGGACATAAAACGGATGATTAAGCCAACTAAAATTAGATCAGAAGCTGAAAGCTGAGATCCCACGGCACTCCTTTGCTTCCCAGTGTTCCCACAGGGAGGACCGCAACCCCCACCTACCCTAACACAAACACAGATGCAGAGGACTACAGTATGCTTTTGTGATCAGTGAGATTAAAACGAAGAACACTGAAATAACAATGAGCATTGCTTTAACATGGCTTGTCTCAGTGTCAGTCTCTCTGTGCGCTTACATCCTTCTCTTTCTGTCATTTGCTGTGTTTCCCTGCCATCTCTAAAACATCTGCTTCAGTACATGGCGCCACTGCTTCTCATATATATAACCGCTGTGAACACAGTGACATTTAAGAAAAGACTGTCTGAATATGCCTATACATTTACGCATGTTGAAAGTGTTCCGCTTCAAGGAGCTTTATAGGAGCTTTACAGCATCACAGGGATCAGCTGGGAGGACAAAGTGAAAGGACTCACTCTCTGTTACAAAGGATTAAAGGAAAAAAAATAGAGGAAGCATGGTGCTTAAGTGCTTTTAAGCCCTGACAAATGCCTCAGCAACAACATCTCCATTCCCTTTCTCTTCATTTTGACGTAAAGCTCTAGACAGCTGCGGTTCATACATCACACAGCACTTTAAGGATGTCAAACACACTGCATGAACAGAACAAGAAGCTGTGCTACCTGCTTGGACAGAAATAAACAGTAGCCAGCCCCTTGTATGATTAAAATACCACTTAAGAATTAAGGTCACAGCTGCATAATTAATAGCTGGAAGCAGCATTATCTCCTCTGCAGTTGTAACTATAAAAGCTGCTGCTAAAATGTCAAAACCAATGTCACTTGGAGTTGGCTTCGATGCTGCTTTAATATCAGGAGCATGGTCAGCTCATGCTCATCAAATTACCCGCTCTACTAATGTCATCAGCCGCACCACTCTGGCTCTTCCCCCTTTTCTTAGATTTGAATACCAAAATAGCATTCAAAATAGCATGACAGGAGAGGAGGCTGAGTGCGGTGCAGTCTGACTTGCTTTCAGTCCAGCAACCATGACTCTACAGAAAGCATCAAGGTCTCAGCACTGCCCTTCAACCCCTCATCTCCAACTCCTCTTCCCCTCCCCGATACAGAAGTATCGAGTTTACATACGGCAGACAACACAAGTACCAAAGGGTGAAATTGATCTGCTGTCCTTGACCAAGTGCACCCACTCTGCCTGTCCGAGTTACCTTTCCTTATCAAGAACTTGCACACACAAACAACAAAGCATCTCATCTTACATGCTGCTCTTCTTCCGAGGAGAGCTGACGGAGCCCTTCCTGCTCTGGCTGAGGGAGCCCCCCATGGCAACAGCCGAGTCTGTGTTTGTTTCAGGTTTATCACAGATGCTCCGTATACGTCCCTCCACTTCTCCTGCAAAGGTTCACCTCTGCCTCTCCTCCACACAGCCTGGCTCAACGTCAGAGGCGCACAAAGCACTGCTTCTCATGACTGACTTGTTATTATTTAACCAGCCAGCCTCTCCTGTCCTCGTCCTTTCTCTTCCACTGTTGATGCTGTACAGTCTATACTCAGGAGTACTACTGATCACACACAAAATGCTGACAGTCCCGCCTCCTCACTCTGCTTCTCCTCAACCCCCCATATCTCTCTCTCTCTCTCTCACACACACACACACGGGCAGATTACATTCACTTGTCAGGCAGGCAGTGCATAGCTTTTAGAAAAAGAAAGACAGAGAGGTGGTGTGTGTGTGTGTGTGTGTGTGTGATAGGGTTGGTTTAAAGCCCACTAAGTCCAAGGAGTTGGAGGGGGTAGATGGAGTGTGTGTGTGTGTGTGTGTCAGCGTGTCATGGGGGTATCTGGCAGGGTTGAGAGTATTGTTCAAGCGTGAAAGAGTCTCTTCTATTGTTAGTCAGCTGAATACCAGATCTGAGATCCAGGGGGAGGGATGGAAGATGATGGAGGGAGAGTTGGCGGCATAAAACACTGCCCCACTTGTTGTGCCACATTCCCACTACCTGCTGTGACCCCGTAGCCCACCACCCCTGCAGCCCCTTTGAGTTTTAGCATGACAATACACACACACACACACACACACACACACACGCCATTTACCCATGCAATTACCCTGATATAAAACAAAGAGTCTGATCAAACAATGCAATCACTGTGACCAAATAGGCTTTATATATTGAGAAGTAGGTTACTATAAACATGTGAAAAGCTAGTTACACATTTTTTAACTAGTGTAAGAGAAGCCATTGGTCATTCCAGCCTGGTATTGATTAAAAAAGGAAATCATACCTTCTGATTCAAGCCTGTCCCTTCCTGATAGCCTCTTGGGATGAAATGAAAATGGCTAAACCCCTCAGAGAGCCCTGGTGGGTGCCCAGTACAGACCCGCCTTTGAGAATAACTGAGAGGCTTTAGTGCATAACTTCCTCCCACTGAAATGAGTCACATGAGGCTCACTATGGAGGTCTTGATTTGTGAATGACTTCATCACATCTCATTCACACACCGCACACAATTTAGCATTTAGCATAAACAGGTATTTACTATGACTGACGATATTAACTTTTTACTCACTACAGCCTCATGACCATTACTATGACCACTTGTTAGGTTGTAACTTGTTAACGCCATAAATTACGACATGAACACACGAACAACTTTAAAATATGGCCAATATAAATGACGGGAAGCTTGAAAACAAACGTCAAAAAGACTTGTACCTGACTCATGGTTGTTATCCAAGGGTGCCAGTCAACTCAACCGCTGCAAGTGATGCTGTTTTCCTCAGACTGCGCATGCTCGAGTCAGGAGGAGTGATGTGTTCACGGTATGTATGGCAGAAGATGTAAGATTGATGTTCAACATTATATCAGAAAGAAAACTGGGCAAGCACAAGCTCTGTCACAGGATGAAGATATTTTATGTGTTTTGAAAGTAATAAGGTAGAAAAATATGTTTTTTTTTTGTTTGTTTCAATTAGGAAAATTCCACTTTCACAAGAAGAAATGGGTGGACTCCAAACCAGATTTTGGACTTCTCTATCAATAACTTAAGCAATATGACACCACAATATGAGGACTTGCAAGAAGGCAATTAGAACTAAGTATGTGTTTGATATATTTCACATGATCCGATTATACATTAGGCCTACTGATCTTTTTTTTTTCTCATTAATCTTTCTCTTCTGTATATATCTACCTCTGGACCTATGGTCAGTTTTGCTTGTATGTCAATGTACTTTTGTTTCCTAAATACAAAAGTTTAAAAAAGGAGGAGTGATGTTCTTCCTGTAACTCCCCCTTCCTGTTAATTATTTAGGTTTTTAATGCTGTCAATGATGTCCTGTGTCAACATGATAGAAATCTTTAGGAAAAAAAAAGTTTTCAAATCCTGAATAAACATGCCATGCTTCAGTGAAATCCAAAGAACACAACAAGACACTTGTAATGTTTTATTATGGCACACACAACATGTAACCATAGTCATAGGGTATGTATTTAGAAAGGAGAACATTAGTTTTTTTGGTATGTTTAAACATTTTAGTGTCAAGTGCAGAAACAGTTGTTGTGGTGAGGAAGACGAGGCAGGGAGCATTAAAGGAATACCTCACTCCCCAAATGATCATTTGTATATCAATTACTCACTCTGTGTTGCACTGAATTTGTAAAGAAAATGTTTTTCTTGCATACCTCGGATAAATGAAGAATCCAAAACCAGAGAAAAGTCTTGATGAACAGAAGTCACGGAGGCCGTGATGAACCACAGCAAAACTACATCAAAACATCTGTTCACAAACTCTCTTACAGTGCACGTCCACTGCAAATCCTGTGCATTTTTTGTTAAAACCTTAGTATTTAAAACTGGACTGAAAGTGAAACTTATTTATGCTCTCTTCAAAGTCAGTCTCCATGCAAGAAAAACAAAGTTTTCCTCATAGCAAGGAGGAGTAATTGATATACAAATGGTCATCTGTGGGGTGAAGTATTTCTTTAAAGTCCTGTTTTACTGTTTAGACACTAAAAATAACAGAAATAGAGATGGAGGTAATGTTCAAGAAAACAGTAACGTTATCATTTAGTATTCAGTGCATTTAAAGTAAGAAAAACAAACAACCCCATTAGATTAATTTATGTATTGTGCAATTGTTACACCCAGAGTGCTGAAATATAGGGCAGAGCTTTGGTGGCAGGGGCTGTGGTGCCCAGTGACATTTGTAAAGTAAAATCACTCTAACACAGGAATTTCTCAGCTTTGTGAACTGGACCCCATGTTACATGATATGAAGGTGCAGATTTGGTGATATCTATAACACTGATATATTGATATTTATTATGTATATTTTTATATAAAATAAACTGATTGTAATTTGAAACATAATTTCCTATATAATCTATGTCTCATGCTTGTTAATTCAAAATGTATATGATTTCAATGTGACAACTCTCTTATTGCTGGATCCATGAGAATTATCAACAGGACAATCAGGTCAAGCTTAGAAAATGTTCAGAAAATGTGCTCTAACATAATGAAGAATAGCATGCAATACAGAAAATTAAAATATGTTGACACATGAATAGATGAGAGAAACATACCATTTGGCCCTTCCATTATACAAAAGTTAGGACTGTGTATGTGAGATGCCACTCTGTACTGGAATCAACCATATTTTAGGATAAAGAATATTATGCTGTTAGGAATTACAGAAACATACATTTCGAATCAAAAGTGGTAAAAGAGGAATGAATGGCACAGACCATGGGATGATAAAGTGGAACTGGCCTCTCTGTACAGTTTATAACAAACACACACACACACACACACACACACACACACAATACATACATACACACACTATGGAAAAATAATCAGCTTATCCTTTAAAGCACCTGCATGTCTCTATGTAATATCTGAAACAAATCATCTGAATCACTTCTTTTAGATCCTTCAAACTAAAGTACATGCAAGTGAAATAAAAATTATGATTAGAAGGCAAGATGAACTCTTTTTTTTTTTTTTTAATCAAGGATAGTGTCAGTGCGGGACTACATCTGTGAAACAACAAAATGGAGTGACATCAACATTATTGTGACATTGCACACATGTAGGAGTAGCAGCTTTGGGTTTCAAGTGGCCTTAAAGTTAACAGAAAGGAAATATAGCTGCCAGAAGACAAAATATTAACCTTCATTTTCCCAATTAGAAGCTAAACAGTTTAAAGTCAACTAAATTAAACAACCAGACCAGCTTATTTTTCCAGGTAAGGTCTTATGTTAGACTAAGGGAGAGCTTTGTGGGTCATAACAGCTTTAAGTTTAAAGGGTCATACAGAGACGCCCTGTGGAACACTCGTATAGTTAATTATTCATTCATTCGTTAATTTTCCGCTTATCCTGTTAGGGGTCGTGGGGGGGCTGGAGTCTATCCCAGCTGAAATTAAGCGAGAAGCGGGGTACACCCTGGACAGGTCGCCAGACTATCACAGGGCTGTAGTTAGTTATATTTCTACATTTCTTATTTTTTGTAGGCTGTACATGGGTCTGGGAATTACATAAAATAGTATAGATTTTAATCTATTATTTAATTATATACTGGTATATTTAAATGTATTAGTTTTTAAATGTTTTGGATTTAATCCAATGTGATAAACATTATACTTACATTATGTTTCCATATTTAAACATGTACTGTGTGGGTCATCTTCATATTTCTTTCTTTCAATATCATTCTGCTGCAGCTGTACGCATGATATGTCAACAACTGTTGTAAAGTGAAAATGCAAAGTAAAGACTGACTCAAAGAAAAGACAGAAAAGTGCGACCAGGAGCATGACAGTGATGTTTGGGTGGATTTGAAATAACTATCAGACACCAAACCCAGTCCTGCAGTGTGAGTCAAGGCAACACCAAGAAGCCACCGCTACCTTAGATGAAAGATGACTGGCATATCTGAACCAAGATCACCTGACTGCCGCCAAACAGTCTCCATTGTCGGGGCAGTCAGGTAACACCCAGACGGTAAGGCATTCTGAAGGAGGATTGTGTGGCCTCTGGTTCCGACAGCTGTCCTTCATTTTCTCACTTTCAGAGTACTGTCGTGTTAAATAAGCAAGTCTACATTCGTTAAACTTTATCACTGCTGTGGCTGGTCAAAGGCCACACCTAGCTTGTCGTAGATCTCCTTCAGCAGCAGGAGAGCTGTATCCTCAGATTCCCTAAAAAACAGAGAGAGGAAAATATCATTTATTTGAAGCAAAAAAATCTAAATCAGGGAAGTAAAATGGGATGCAACAAAGAGACAATATCAGGAACAGTAAATACAAAAGAGCACAATTACTGTGGTCCACCCAGCCACAGGTATGCATGACTCACCAGTAACACAGATGAGACTGGATGGCAAACAGGTACTCGTTGAAGCTCTCGATGGGTTTTTCCTGAAGTACATAGTCAATCCTTCGTCCTCCATTCAACATCCCCACTTTAATCTCAGGCTGCTCTGTCTGCTCTGCGGACACTGAGGACTCTGCCTCCTCACTCGCTGCTGCGGGGAAACAAGTAAAAAAGATGAGTCTGTACAGGCAGACAATAGCCAGCAGTAATCTGTTTTGACTCATACTTTTTGGTAAAACCAGAACAGATCAGATAATAGAAAGAAAATAAAGGAAAGAAGAGAGTGGCTGCTGTCTGCAGCAAGAAACGTTCAAACCAAAAGCAAAGGAGTTTATGAAAGTAGGCAGGTTAAATGTGGAACAGTGCAGTTTAATTTACCAATGGAGGTGAGCATAACTCATATTAATCTACAACCTTAAGTCCCTCATCTCCTTCCTCATCCATAGGTGCAAGTATGACGTGTAAATGCCAGTAAGGTGGGTCAGTTTTGTGACGCGTGAATGATGTGTTTGTCGGTATGTTACAAACGTGGTGTTGTCTTAAGAGTGATCGCATAAGGGCTCTCCACAAAGAAGTAATGCACTGCTGATTAACCCTACACTGCCACCTGCTCACATCTCTAATGACTATGACAATCTACCTTTGCATTTACTGGCTTGTAATGCTGACATTAAATTCAATTCAAATAAACACAAGAAGTTTGAGCTAAATTAAGTTGTACTATGACCTAAAGAGTCTCCTGTTTGGGATCTTGCACCACAGTATTCGATACAACAAATGTGGGTTGTGTAACTGATATGAGTGACAATGACAAGTACGACAAGCACAATATTGTTTAATTAAGTTGTACAGTCTGTTCTAACAGCAGCTGTCTTCTCTGTTACCCATTAAATGAACTGACAGACTAAGTACTTGAGGTGCTGTAGAAAAGAGCAGGACATGTACCTGCATGTAGCTCCTGTTGGAGACCTACTGCTAATGAATGACATCACCTGCTGGTTGAATTACTCGTTAAAAAAAAACAACTGAGATCACTACTATTCAACTTGTCCTATTTGTTCTGCACATACAAAAGTGCACCATGGGCCGGTTATTCAACTGGCCTCTGATGTTGACGACCAGTGAAGGAGTCAATAAGTTTAACCAATCATAACTGGAGAGGGAGGAAAGGACCTAAAGGGGGTGTCAGTAAATGTAACGTTGAGCTCAAGATTAGATGTATAGCAGTAGTGATGCAGGTAGGCATGGGGGAAGGAGAGGCAGAGCAGGAGTGAGAGCTTGCGGCAAAAATGACATTCACTGCATAACATTTGCTCTTTGTGAGGGAACTGATGTGCCAAAGCTGACCGCAGTAATTGAGTACCACCACTTTTTTTAATATAAATTCTGCAGGTACTGCAGCACAGTTTTAACCATTAAAACTGGTAATGAAAGTATTTAGTTGTGCCTCTTTTGTGCACATTCATTTTCCAGATTCAAACCAGGGAAGTGAAATGGAAAATGCAGAATCAAAGACAAGTTTATATAGAGTTATACAGGGTTCCTACACATTTCCATTTTAAAATTGCATACTTTTCCAGACTCAAATTTCCCCAACTTAATAACAGATTTTTATACCATATTTCACAACTGAGTACAAACAGCTAGATGTTAATTATGTAAATACACTGTTTTAAAATCAAACTGTTAATGTGTATGCCCCATTCTGACTATCTATTATATTTCCAAATAATTGCCAGCAGATTGAAGCTAGGCACTGAAGTTCATACAAATCAATTAACACCAAATCTAGACAAGTTCAGTGCAAAACAGAGGATGCTGTGACAAGACAACAGTGCTTTTGCCCTTGCATATAGCTTATATTTGCCGCCTCCCTGATGATGAAGATGTTGACCAAATTATCAAAGTTTGCATCTAGCTTCTTTTCCCCACTGGAATACTGGTGATACCTACTCTCAAATTATCTTCCCTTAACATTTTGACCTAATAATATATTGTTGTTCATGCCCTATTTTTAAATCTCTTTAATAAATAACAACTGAAAATAAGCTGAAAAATTTAAATCATTTTAACAGCGCCTGCACATACTTGTTTATTCACTTTGTCCATGAAAACGGTGATGAACGCACCCAAAAAGGTTTCCCTACACAGAAAAGATTGTCAGTTTACTTTTCTGATAACTACATTACTGTATAACTCTGTATAACTAAATGTTCAGACAAGCTTGACATTTGATAATCTGTGATGCTATGCACATACAGTACAGCTATAAGGTATTTGCTGGGCTGTGCTGCAGGCTTCAACCTACAGGCATAGAGCCAGCTCTGCATAGAAGTGTGCATTCAGTTGCATGCCATACTTCTTGCCTTCTTGCATAATGTTTCAGATCAATACATTTTTAGAAATTCTGAATTTAATATTTTAGAAGAAAAAAAATAGGGGCAATAGTCTGGAAACACAAATATTTTTCCACACTTCATTTTTTTTCCATACTTATCCAGATCTGAACATTACTAAAATCAAATTCTATACTTTACTATACTGCGTAGGAACCCTGCTACTAGGTTTGCACTTCATGGAGGAAAACCAGTTTCCAAGCTACAGGTAAGCTGGCTTTACTCGTTTTTCTCATGTATTCTCGCCAAGTGACTATCCTGGCTTACCTTGGAAGTAATGCTTATGAAGGGCCCTGGGCCACTCCAGTATTTTAGTCCAAAAATCAGCACTTTTCTCTTCCCTCTTAGCAGAAGCAGTGACTGCAGCTGAGGCTGAGTAAAGTGGTAAGGGGTGAGGGAAGCAGGAGCAACCACCACCAGAGCAGAGGAGGGGAAGGGAGGGTGGTGACATGCAGAGAGGGGTGAGAGGGGTATAAGGAGACTGGGTTAGACAAACTATTTTGCACGCTCACACACACACACACACACACACACACACACACACAAGGCAAATAGAAGTGCTGTTTCTACCCTGGGTCTCTTGACGGTCTCTCTCTATCGTAGTTTCTCCTTCATCCACCGGGGGCAGTGCAGCAACTGGTAATCTGGAAAAGGACTGCCATGCCGTCCGTAAGGACCCTAAAACGTTGTTCTTCAAATCCATGCTCATTCGGGTCAAGCTGTCCTTTAGTTCTATTAGACAAAGAGGAACAGAGATTACCATTAAGCTGATGAAACAAAAGCTCACACCACAATATTTCCTCACACAGAGAAGGAGAGAGAAACGGACAGCCATACCTAGGTGCATTCTCTTGCGGCCTTTATGGTGAGGGATCAGCATAGGCTCCAGATCCACCTCTGTTACAATCATGGGCTCTATCCGATAGGCCACAGGATCATACTACACAGCAATAAAGGAAAAGAGATGAATGCAAGTTTTAATAGATGATCTCTTTTGTCAGGTAAGAGGAGGAAGACATGGCTTGTTTTTCTATTTTCTACAAAGAATTCTCTGAGATGTGCGCCTATATGGGCAGATGCAGTAAATATGGGATCACTCACCGGGTGGTAGATGTTGTAAAAGCTCTTGCAGGTTGGAAAGCAGTAGTTGGGATCGATGTGTTTAAGTCCACGGACGGTCAGGAACATTCCAATAGGAGAGCCAAAGGCAAAAAATGTTTGAGGATGGAAAGCAAGCTGTGGGTAATCAATGGATACCTGTGGAGAGAGGGTGGGGTTGAAACGTGTACTGCTGAGAAAACAAAAAAGATTTAAACCTCACTTTGTTCTAAGAAGGCATAGCTATTTAGACAGATGGAAACACTCCTCTCATGCACAATGGTGTCTACATTAAACATTAAAACTACACTCCATGACATAAAGACAACAGCCAGGGAGTATGACAGCAGGTAAAGTGAAGACAGGGAGCTGACTACTCATGCAGCATTTGATGAGCATAGACACAGAGTGTGATATTTGGTTGTACGACTCAATGGGACAAAGATGGTAAGCTCAGTCAGAGCACAATGTGACTGAGCCCTGGAAACCCTACTGCTCATAAAACAGGCACTATAACTCAAGTCGCCTTGAGATTTCACTGACTGGACCAGATTGTATGTGAAAAGAACCTGCAGGCACAGTGAGATCAAGGGGAGCTAATGGCAACGCCTCAGAGCATGGGGACACTATGTGAGACACACCTGTCCCTTGGCTATGCCTCCATTGGTCTGTCCAGGCAAGCGGGGGGGAGGAAAAAAGCAGGAGGGTGATGCATCAAAGCTCTTATCTACAGGTGCTCCCAAGCACAAATTAGTAAGTCTGTGTTCATGTGTAGTACCTGTCCGATGCCCACGTCAAAGTATTCATAGTCGACAGCACTGGTGACAGACTGTGCCCTGTGGAACTGGGACTGCTGCATCGCCAGTCCTGAAGACTTGTTACCATCGTGATCGTTGGTCACTTGAGGTGCAACTTGCAAACCTGGTGGCAGACGTACTATCCTTGCCTTACAGTCCTATTTAGGTTGAGAAATATATAAAGTTATTTCAACAAAAACTGAACCGTAGATACTTTATAGAGTTAGTTAGTAAATTAGCCGCATCAAACAGCATGCTTCTCACTGTTGTCTGTGTAAACTAGTTGCCTTGAGTAGTTCCAACATGTCTCTGGAATGTTAAAATAATTAAAACTAGAAAATCCAGTACAGTTCCAGGTTATGTCTGACCTCTGGAATCCATTTCCTCCTGACATAGTTTAAGATCTTCTTCCGAGGTCCAAGAGGAATTCCTAAATCTTTGAGATCACTGTCTTGGCAAAGAGCCTAAGAAAGGGAGATCCATATTTAACTATGCATCACATTGGAATTTGTAAGTCCATTGTATGTCTGTGTGCGCGTGTATGTGTGTATTACCAGTGATTCCAGGTCTAGGTTTTCTGCCTGTAGCGTATCCAGGTATTGCTGCAGGCCCAGTCTGGTCAGGGTCTGCTCCAGGGTGTCACAGTTCAGATGAAATGGCTCATCAGACGGCACCTAAAGCACCAGGAGGCAGAGAAAGGGAAGGGAATTTTCTTATCTATATATGCAGAGCAATATGCAATCTCTTTATATGTATACTGATGTTATCCTTTATTATGAATGTCACTGTACCCCCTCTCTGGCTTCTGATCCAGTCCTCTGATTGGTCAGCAGGTCAAAAAGGATCAGCGAACCTGAGGAGCAAGAGTCAAAGGAAAAAAGTTGGTATTCAGGATTTTAATGACTTTGCACTGTGTGTATTTGCATTTGGTAAAGTCTTACCCAGGCTATGACCCACTACAGAGACTGCCCCATTGAAGTCTGAGTGTCTCTGTTTAAAGAGGGTGTGGAGCTTGTTGATCTCTGAGGCCACTGTGTCCACTATGGTCTGGCAATAGGTGGGGCTATTATAGAAAAACAGGTCCAGCAGAGTGTCGTTAGTGAAATGCCTCAGCCTGCTGATGCTGGGTAAAGTGATCCTCTGGATGTCCCTAGAAAGTGGGGGGAGTCAGGAAAGACAGTTTGACAATATTCTGCAAGTATTCGAGACACAGTAGTATTGTACAAGAGAGGAATCTTGTTTTGTCCACTCTCTATCTTTTTCCATACTTACTCGTCCACACCAGTGGCATCCCCGTGTAGAGCGCTGTGCCAGTTGACTGGGAGGAACTCCACTCTTCCTATCTGGCCATCCTGCTGAGCACGCTTATAATGAGAGGCCAGGAGGGACAGGGAAGCACTCCTGAAGTCATTTACTGGGGAGAGACACAAAGAAAAGGGAGTCACACATACACATACACATATCAGTATATACATGGTACACACATATACCAAGTCACACTTACCACATTGTATGATGGATCGGAAGCGCAAGTCACATGCAGGGCCAATGCCATGAACCATGAAGACAAGGTGGTCCACCTTTTCTGGTTCACCTGAGAATTCGCACAGAAAAAGGCATCATCTGTGGGTAATATTTTTTTACATGAGCTTACCGTAATACTTATATTAATAGCCCTGGCTTTTATTTGCTTCAGTCACTGAGCTCTAACAGTGTACATCCTTGGGGACTAAAGTAATATAAATAATCCATGAATGGACACATTTACCATGCCAATAAATCTGAGTGAATTCTATTTTGGTGCTCATGGTTTCCATAAAATGAAGTGAATGACTGAATTATGGAGAATATAACCAAGCAAACAATGTGTAGTATGTCCATATTGACAAAAATCTTAAGCATTTACATTTGTATGCGCACTCTAAGCAGCTTAGAACTAGCTAAAGTGGGCCAAAAACCAGTGGGCTTTAAAAGGTTTTACATATCCAAAGAACTTCTATAAAAATTAACAGCTTTGCAGCCTCAATAGCAACCAAACCCAGCATTTAAATTGAGACCTGCGTTTATTTGTCAGAATGTGTAGCCACACCTGGCTTGTAAAATGGATTGTTGTTTATTTGGGGCTTTAAATGAAGTTTATTCTGGTATATTTTCTTCTGGTGCACACAGACACATACCATCAGGTATTTCTACAGAGATGTTGTCCACTCCCCTCTTGACTGTTCGAGGCCGGGCCTGCTCCGAGGGGGAGGACACCCACTCATCCTGTAATCCTATTGGCTGATACTGCATTATCAGCTGAGAGAGGAGCAGGGAAATGAAGGAGAGGAGGTTGATTAGAAAATAAAACCATGTACCTAATTTGATATGTGCTCAGAAAAGCCATGGTGTGGCTTTGATGGGATGATATTTCAACAGTAGGCCTTACCTTGGGATTGTGTAAGATGACTGTCTCTCCGGTGGGAAACTCCAGTTTCCTTTTCCATTCATCCAAGGTCACTGCTATCATATAGGCCTCCTGGAAATTGGAGGATGGTAGGGGAAGGAGTCAAGGACCAGCAGATATGAAAAGAGTAAGTGATGAACAGGCAAAGTTAGGAAGAGAATACAGTTGTAGGAATGAGCAGTGTGATGGTGTGAGACTACCTCCAGACTCTTGCTGAAGTCCTCAGGGTAAGGCATGAACCTGGTGTCTTTATCTCCTTTATAGAACCAGGTACAGCGACGGACTTCAGTGGGACCTTGCTCCCAGTAAACAGCATAACGCTTCCTCTCCTTAACACGTATGTCATATCGCTCTCCATCCACAGCTACCACAACCTCATCCTCCTCCTCATCTCCTACTGCACAGTGAACACACACATACACAAGCAGATATAAATAAGGCTTATGAGACAATCTCCGAAAAATAGATTCTAAGCAAAGGTTCTCTGAGGACATGCAAGAACAGTATGCTATAGCTGTGCTTTAGCTCTGGGTTTGCAAGAGAACATGTTCCCTGATGTTCCATATATTCGTGTTAAATGCACGGAGGGGAAAAAGCATGATATCATTGTTTATGGGGATATCAGAGGCTACAGTGATTCTGGAAGAAGGTTTGTGTATGTACAAGACATGTTTGATAAAGATCGAGTCTGTTGACTCAGACTTTACTCACAAGACTATAACACTACTTTGCAGTAATCATTAATGCTCAGTGACTCAGGAGTTCTGCAGCAGCAGCATTACGAGGAGGATAAGTGCATTCTACTGGAATAACACTGACATACCTTCTATAGGAATGTGGGCAAAGAAACTTCCATCATGTCTCACTTTGTAGAGACTTATATTGTCAAATGGAAAGACAAGAACTTTGCTTGTTTACAGAGCCCTTATACAAAATGTGTAGAGATTCATACTTTTGCATAATTTGGAAATTATAAACATCAGGTTTTTTTTTGTTGTTTTATATCTTTCCTTTGGGAGGGGTGTGTGTGATTATCAATGTAGAGTTGATATTCAATTTCCCCTCACATAAACCCCTATAAAACCACAACATGTATTTTTTTATGTTTTGAACAAAATGTTTATTCAAATTCAAATTATACATTGCTACTATATCAGGAAATAAAATAAAATAAAATAATATAAATTTAAAAGAAGTCAATATGAGTTTTGGCAAAATTCACAATTACATCAGTACAGTACCTTGGTACCTGCCTATCTTTACGTGGAGTTTTGCTGTTATTTTTCCCATTGAGTACACTTTGGCCACCAATAAAAGAATATGCAACAAGTAAGCCTTTCTCTTATTCACTGCTTCATCATGGAGCTTAAATGATTTCAAAATTTGTCCTTTACACATTTGGTCTATCTATTGTAATAAGGCCTTTCTCTGCCCACTCCTTAAACCCAGTGTCTAATTTACTTGGCAGAAAATCCACATTCTTTGCAATCTTCAAGGCTCTTGATATTGTTACAGTTGCTTCCATTCTTTTTCTAACATGCCATTCTACACAAGAGATCTCTAAAACTTAAAATGTGAATATCATGTATGTCAACGGTGAATAAATACAACTAAGGTATTAGTGTTAATCATAATGAGGCTCACCTTAATCCAGCCTGAAACTGAACTACCTGAAACTCACTGTTAAACTGCTTGTAACTGTGAGCATGTCCTGTCAGGAGAGTAAAGTGTCCTACTGGGCACCAGGCCAGTGCTGGCAATGGTAATGTTTTGACATTTTATCTTCTCACAGCTGTTTATAGCTAAACTCACTACTTTCTTTCTTTTTACATACATAATTACACACACCTTTATACATAATGTACAATATATAATGTGCATGGGAAGTAAATATACATGCTTACCAGTGTTGTAGGCGTTCTCTAGTTTGTCAGAGTCTTCTCTGCTGAAAGGGAGCCAGGAGGTGTTGTCATCAGCCCGTCGACAGAAGAACCAGTGAGGCTGGACTTCTTGATAAGGAGCTGGGACCGACTCCATGTCAAGCATCTCAAAGGAGGAGGTGGAAGAGGGAGAGGCCTCATCCACTGCAGGCGACAGCTGATGAAAAACGTTGCTCAATCAGTATATCAATCAGTGGCTCAGCTACAAAGTAAAATGCAATTGCTTGCTATATACACCTATGTAAACACCTTTCAGCTCTGTAGCTTGTAGAATAGGTAAATATAGATGTCTGAGCTAAGTCTGTGCCCTTCCATTAAGCTCCTACTGAGGAACCTGAGACCACGAGACAAAGCAAAGGACAGTCGGACAGGAAAGCATCAGGCCTCCCTGTCGTCAGACGCACAAAGCCCTGTTTTATTCTTTCCTCCTCTACAAGCTGCCTCTTGTCTCTTCTTCTTTCCACAACTGATACAGCTACAGCTTGTAAACAACCTTTTTTCTACTGAATCTCTAACATTCACAAACAATGCTGTCAGCAACACATTTGGTACTCCACCGCTCCTGTTTCAGCGTGTTGAAAGAGAGAGCCTGCCACTGCTTGACACGACAACAAACACCCACATTAAACACAGCTGCCAAATCAGCAATCCAATTTGCAGTATAATGTGCACACGGCACGTGCACAGATTTGAAACAAGAGCGAGAATAAACTGTGAATGGAACACCCTTCCTGAAAATTAAATCTAAATCTCCTTGCACGTTATTACATCCTGTGCGTGCACTGCTTTCCAGGCTCACAACTACAGACTAAATGCTGCATATTTGGCTGAATGTCCTGCAACACCGTCCTTAAGCAACCTTTATGGAAATTATTCAAAATACTCCATCCAGGTCTGGTTTTATTGTCTCCTATGGACCTCATGCTGTGTCTTTAAGTGTACATAACTTTAAATGGGACACTATATGACTTCCATCTCAAGCATTTCCACAAGACCACCATTTTCACTTTGCCCTACTATCATTCAGCAGGGGAAAATCAATTCAACAGCCACTTCATTTACTAAGTAGTAATCAGTTTTATAAAGCCTTTGTTAAAGGCACAATACAATTCCTCATATGGTAACTGCATTTTGTTGCTACAGGAGTCAGCCTAGTTAAAGATCAGTACTTGCACTTTGTCACTTGAGAGGGGCTAATTCTATTTCTAACACTACTGTTGGGACAGAGTATTTCAACACAGGCATGCCCTTGAAATTGTACAAAGTGTCATGGTTTGTTGCATAGCAGTACAATGCTGCTTCTGATCAAATTTTCTCTGCCAGCCTAAACCTCTTAGGGTTTCCCCGATCACAGATCAACCACGTCCGGGACTGAAATAGACCTTATTGGAGATAACACACTGGGAGTGTACTTTAATCCACAACTAGGACCCAAGCAGCCTTCTGTGGCCCTGCTGCTGATCAATGAGAAGTGATAACAGGTCTGAAAATAATCATTCCTGTAGATAACCTATTCACAGTGTACAGCAAAATGATAATAACTCTAAGAGGTCAGACTGGGTCTTTGTTCTGTACAGCAATGTGCATTTTAAAATTCTTCTTGAGACAATAAACGTCAATGATTTTTTTTCAGTTTCTCATTATAACTCTCACATGAATGTTACTTGTCATTACAACATTTTTTGTAATAGAAAAAGGCCATACGACTCTGCAAAATATGCACAAGGTCTGTGTGTTTGTATTTAAGTCTGCTTCCAAACAATGCGTGTTTCTCCTTACCTTAATTTTAAACCAAACCTAATCCCAGCCAGTCATATCTGGAATGCTTAGGATAACTTAAAGGAATTCTTTGCACCCCAAATGACATTTCAATTGCTCAGTCCATGATTTGTTGAATTCACGAGGACTTTGTTTTTCTTGCATGCCTCCATTGTATATTATATATATATATTATATCCTTTGATGAAGGACAGAGAGATACAGAAGATCCTATATACCAACAGCCATCAGGCTTTATAATTCTTTGACATATAATAAATGAGCTGACAGATAATTGAATTTCCCCTTGGGGATGAATAAAGTTATTCTTATTCTTATTGAATAAAGAATCCAATAACTAGGAAAATTCTTGATGAATTTTAGGGGATGCATTCAACAACAGCAAAAAAAAGTCAAAACGTCTGTGTGATATCTGTAGTGTGACCCCAGTCTCATATTTCCAGTTGTATGCTCAGTGCTTTGCAAACAGACAGCCCTTTATGATGGGGAACTTCACTCAAAATGAAACTTAAAGACTCCATTGACATGACAGTAATTTTATCTCTTGAAAAATAGGAACTGCTGGTCTACCACTGCCTAGATTCGTTATTTCATTTGTGTTATTTTGTGATTTTGCTAAATCCAAACTAATCCTCTGAAGCACCAAATACACACAATAACAAACAGTTTTTAAATGCGGACCCCTGTGACTTCAATTCATCAAGGATTTCTCTATTTTTGGATTCTTTACTCAAGCAAGAAACACAAACTCAACGGAACACAGGGTGAGTAACTGATATACAGATCGTCATTAGGGGGAAACGTATTCATTTAACCTAAATCCTCTCCCCAATCATGCAGCTACAGTAGACAGACTCTGACAAACAACACTGAACATCCATACACGAAACTCACACATGCACCCTCACCTGATCTGCAGGCGTGTTCCCTGTTACCACAGTCTGAGTGGGGTTGTCAAACTGGTCTTGGGTGTTGACGTTTGGGGCAGCCTGAGACAGACCCCCCTCTTCACCAGGACTGTTTGACATTAGCCCACTACCTGACCCCAACCCTCAGCTCTGACCTGAGGGGGGCAGGGGGCCACACAAACACGGGACCTGGAACAACCCAAATGCACAGAGACTGAGAGCAGACAGGGGAGCTTAAAAAGACCATCACAACTATTGCATAACATGTTACAGCCTGTCTAACTTGCAAGGGATTAACCGGTGGTACATGCACCAAACTGCTGTTGAGCGGTTTAACATTACACTAGTATCTATTCCCAGCTCTCAGAATGTCTCATCAACTGCTGTTCAGCAACACACAGCAACTAAATGTAAAATATAGGTTAATGTGATAGCTAACAGTCAAGTCACATGACAGATGCAAGTTGTTATGAGTTATGTTGTAACGTTATGTAGCGTTGGCAGTTCTGAATTTCTCGACGTCTTGAACAGAGCTAGCTAATGCTAACGGTTATGTCTCGTGTTATTTATGTATTTTTAGGAATGCTACAAACACATCATAGAGGCCAACGGTTGTTAACGTATGTTTAGGATCATGCTAGCTGAGTTACGCTACGATGGATGGACTGGACGCTAGTGTCAAGTGTCCGTTTGGACGTATTGTAGTCGTGTCGGATGTTATTTCACTACTAAGAGACAGCTGTTAACTTAAACTCACCAACAACTTCATACACAGTCAATGCAGAAGGTTTGTTTTCGTTGTTTAGCTCGCTCAAGCTAGCCCGGCTAGCCAAGGACAGCCTCCTGTCAAACGCTACCTGGTCACAGTGTCGTCGGAAATATGACGATTACGAGACTGACGTTCACGAACGACGACACTAACAGCCAAATAACGGGTTGAAACAACGGCGTTAATACAGAGCGGTTTCTGTGATTCCAGAGTTTTCGTAATGTGACGATTAGACGACGCAGAAACATGAACACAACGCCCAATGCTAATAGAAATAATATTTCTTCATAAATTAACAAAATTCTGCATTTTCTCTTGGGCAATGTTCCGCTGTATTGCAGTTATTATGAGTCTATTAATTCTAAACCAAAAAGTCTCCGACAGCATCACTTAAAGGTGCAGAAGAACGCAACCTTCCTGCATAAAATTTAAATTTACGAGGAGCACCTGAAGGCGACATGAAACGACACAGCACCGCCAGGCCACCGCCCCCAAATATTGAGTTGACGTCACGAATTTGCAAGGAGTTTGGTCATTGTTTTTCTGCAGTGAAGAGTAGAGGCGTTCAAAGTTCAGTTTTCACCAGTTTAGTGAAAGGTAAACATGACTTAACACATGTTTATAACTCCATCTGATATATTTAGTAATTGTAAATGGAACGGGTGCTTTGGTTATGCGCGAGTTACATTGTTATAAGCCTAAATATATTTTCATGCAGGTGGTGGTCGAAATGAGGATTTTGTATATTTTTTTTTCCACTGCAATACTCACATCATATTGAACACTTACAGGTATAATTAGGTGAATTTTTCCAACAGATGCATGTCTAACAGTGTAGGTATTAGATGTATTGTCAATCAATACAGCATGGCATTCTAGCAATAACACACAGGTCACCTGCATAGCCTAACCCAGATATCTCACTGTTTGGTTTGGACTGAGATATGTCCAGGTATGTGTGACATGTGAATGTAGTAGGTGTTGGCATAGGCGTAGGTAGGTGTAGTGAGAGAGAAACCACATCTTGGGACCTAGTCACACCCATTTCTGCCAAATTAACTGGCTTGTGGTTGTATTTTCAGTAAACTGACTTCACTATCATGAGTATGATATGACATCACTTTCACTTCACTCTCTTGACCTTAGATTAGAGGAATAAGTTTTTCTGTTTCCATTAAAGCACACAGATTCACTAAACGAACCATAACATTTGTAACTTGAAGTACTTTATATAAAAAGTGCCATTGTTGATCAGCTCAGGTCAAACCACTACCAAACATACTGTGTGCTTATTCCCACCTCCCCTCCAGGGCTTGTGGAGTTAGGGAGGGAGGAGTGAAACATGCCAGGGGAAGGAAGAGTGAGTAGAGCTAGACACACCCAGTCCAACAAAGTGTGAGAGACATGCACAGTAATGAGCCTGTGTGGAGCAATAAGAGGGTGTGGCTTTTTTTTTTATACAAGGAGAACAGATAAGCTGAGTTTGCCTTGTAGAGAGGGGCAGGAGTCACAATCCTGAACAGACAGCAGCTTACTTTCACTCTGCTGCGCTCTCTTTAACAATCCAGCTGCACGTTTCCACTCACCCTCTCCGTCTCTCGTGTGTTCTTCCAGCAGTTTGAAGCAAGACTTTGAGGGGGGAGCAGCTTCCAGCACAGAGAAGAAGAAACACAAGTGGACAGCTCAAGAAAAAACTGCAACACGCAGCCATGAAGGACAAAGTGAGGAGAGGTGGAGGTAGAAATCAGGCCAAGGCTGGTAAGAAATCCCTGCGATGTGTTTTTCTCTCTGTCTCTGTCTCTCTCTGTCTTGTTTGTACTTTCCTCTTCCTTCTTTTTTCCTATGGTGCCTCCCTCACTGAAGAATGTGAGGAGGGTGGGAGTTTTAGCACTGCACTGCTGCTCTGAACATGGCTGATGCTATTCTGTGCTTTCACCAACTTTTTAACCACTGGGAAGATCTGCTCTGCACTTTTACCTTGTGAATTCTCAGCTATAGTCCTTTGAGGGCAAAGAAGAATAGCTTTTATTCTAATCTCCATGCACAGCTGTTTATCTAAAATCAAGAACCTACCACCTTTTTCAAAGCTCCAGCTTTATCTACCTTGTAATCCCTTTGCCACACTCTCTAGTAGGCCTTTCAGCTTCTTTGAATCTTTGCCACTCCCCTTCACAAAAGAGAATGATAGGATTAAAAAAGAGTGTGCATTTGCACATCTTCAGTTGAGGTAACTCTGGGGTGTCTATACCCTCCTCAAAAGCGCAATCGATCTGTGGGCACAGCATTATGATTGGCAGGTTCATTCATTTCAAAGTAAACCTACTATGTGACATATAAGGAAGGAAACCTACTGGCTTGTTTAGTTTTAGGTACAAGCCAACCTCAGAAATCGGTGCCAAGATAAACTCGTCAGGGCTGCAAACAATGCTGTCTTATGTAGTAGTAAGGCACCAGTAGAAAAGAGGTTGATGGCTTCATGCCTGCAGAGAGGAGGGACCTTGTTTCAGCGAATCACAAACACAGAAGCTATTTTTTGGGCGCTCTCCAATGGTAAAGTAGTCCCAGATTGACAGCAAGAGCTGGGGATTTACAGTACAATGAATTACAATCTTCAGAGATGAGTGCAAAGTGAATTTTCTGCTTTGCCGTGCACATGCCAAAGGTGTTATATATACAATATGTGCACGCATGCATGAATGCAGGCATGCTGTACTGCCAGGCTGTAAGTTTGTTAGTTTATGTGTTTTAACATTCTGCTGCCTCCACATGCCGGCGCTGGGTGTGGTTGTCCCTTCACCCTGAGATGACATGAAGGCCAGCAGGCAAATTCAACAGGTTTAGTCACACTGCAGGTTGAGAAACACGCTGAGTCCTGCTCTCCCTCTGGTTCTCCCTTCTGTGTAAAAAGGCAGACACACCCCACTTTCCCTTTCTTTGACAGTTTCTTGCATAAATTCACTCTCACCCTGAGGCACTGTGACAAACACACACTCACTTTTCAATCCAGCTCACAGCCATTTTATGGTAAATGAGTGTTCTTGTTTGATTCAGACAATGACATCTGAACTTGATAAGGCACGATTATGAATCATTCATTCTCTCATTCATTTCTTCATGCCTTTTCTAAAGCATTGTCTTCTCTGTGTGGTAGTGAGCTGGAAACTAGCCCAGCATGTAATGAGCGGAAGGCAGGGAAACAACCTAAACTACTTGCCTTTCCAGTGCGGTGCTCTGTGATTATCCTCACTTATTTTTTGTCTCTTTTAAACAGAGGGAATGAGCCTGACTGGTGAAAAGGGTGCCGCTGGTATCAGGCAACATGAGGAAACATCGTTCCCTGTGAAGATTCAGGGAGCAGGAGTGGAGCCATTTGAGCTGCAGGTATAAAACCAGACTGTTGTTTCCTCTCTGTTCCTTCTAGTTCTCTCTTTTGTTAATAATAAGATGGAAACCAACGATCCCGCAGAGACTGGATAACTAATGTTTTTATATAATAAACAGATTAATAATCTATATTTGGGCATTACTTGCTGTGTCTTTGTAGGTTCATGGATTCTGGCTCGTTCAAGACGCAGTAATGACTCTGCTTTCGAGGGATGAGGTGTGTCCACGTTCCAACCTATCACTGGCGCTCGCTGGTACCACTCTGGATCCCCTCGCAGAACTGCAAAGCCTCAAGGGGCTTAAACCAGGAGCCATCCTCCGCCTGGTGGAAGGTAGGATTGTTTTTTTCTCTTTCCTTTTTTTTCAAGAACCTTCCCTTTTAGTTGAGCTTAATAATAGTCAAATGGTCCAAAGGCTTATTTTAAGGTACATTGAGAAACTGCTTTTCTTACGCCTGTTTTCAAAATTCATACATGTTATTCCTATGGTCTAAGGCAGTACAAAAATATAGTAAGCATAACAACTCTCCTAAATAGAAAAACTAGAGTGCTAAAACCTGAATTTGTGATGTTATCAAGTATAAAGTCTGGAGCTATTCCATAGACAATTAATGGGGAAAGATGTTCTGGATTACACTAGGAGCATTTTCTGAGTATGGGTGCATTTTCTGTTTCAGGGCTGAGAATACTACAGCAGAATAAAGCTCATTTGGGTATAAAAAAGAAAGCAAACATATGAGACATTTGTTGGAGATTTACCTCTCTGGTTTCTGGCTTTGAGAGAGAGTAATTCATGTTCACAAATATTGACTGAACTTCCCTAGGTCACTATATTGAAATTCTTCATTAGGTGGCGAAGCTATACTTTATGAACTGTGCAAGGGGAAATTCAATTTTTCACTCTGTTGTTACAGTCTCACACACACACACACACACACACACACACAGGTCTGACATACACACATACACAAACTAGACCTATACACATACAGAGGTGTCAGAGCAAGGGGGCTGCCTCACAGGATGATGGCCTAATAAAGCAGTTAGGCGGCACCTCTGCAATGCCTGCACCTCTTCAGCTACTAGTCCACACTGTATTTGTTCTGTGCAGGGACTTGTGGTTTTGGTTACAGTATTCTGTTCTGTATTGCATTAAATTGTTGTCAGGCCTTTTAACAGTATAACTTCTACTTTCTTACATGTCCATTTCTGTATCTACATATCGAAGGGTTATTAATGGTGTAATGACTGATTACAGAATCACAATATAGGACCAGAAAATCCTGTCAATAATTTCAGCACATCCATCACCCTTTCCCTTTCACACACACTTAAGTCTCTCTCACCTTAATGCAAGTTGCTGACTCACCTTTTACTGAGTCATCAACACAAGGTATGTAGTTGCAGAGATTACAAGTGTGTGCAAACCAATTTGTCCGTCTCTCACCAGCTAGCTGTTGAAATACTGTAACAAACTATCATGCAGGCCACCTGTTATTCTGTACAGTATATATATTCAGAGAATATGCATCATTGATTAACTGGCACTCAGTGTGCTTTTTAAATTCAAATATAACATCAGTATAAATACTCCTTAATAAATTCATCATGAATATATCACGATATCCATGACTATTTGTCCTGCACATTCTGGCTGTTTAAAAAGAGTCCACAGTTTTATAAATGTCACTGGAACCTTTTTATTACTGCTGTGTTTCTTTCCAGAACCCTACACTGCCCGCTCAGCCAGGATCCATCTGGCTCGTGTGCTGGAGCTGCTGAGAGCGTCTGGACCTCAGGATGCACTGAGAGAA